TTCCTAAATAGGTGGCAACGACTGTAAAAAATAGTAAAAAAAACTTTCTAAATGCGAATTAAATTTATTTTGAATTTCTAATTAGGTGGCAGTTCCGTTTAAGAAAATCTTTTTGAAATAAATCATTCTTAAACCTCTCTTGTTTGATAGCAGTATGGAAATAGTTCGTTGAACTTGATAATTAAATTGATTTTAAACTTAAGGGAAGGTGAATACTTTAATAATATATAAATCATTTTATTTAGGAATATTTTCGAAATAAATCGTTTTCGAACCACCCTTATAATTCGACACCCACATATCTAACTTATTAATTAGTCAATTTCAACTTTTTAAACAAGGTGGCAACCCACCAAACAAATTATTTATAGACAAATAGTTTTAGAACTTGTTAGATTTGATTTCAACTTTTTAAAAAGGTGGCAGCTGTTTTAAAAAATATCCCGTATGTCAATTCAGGTCACAGCCTTTATATCTGTCAAATTTCATTGAAAATTTTCCAAATTTTCAGCTTTTTAATCAATTTTTTGGAATTTCGTTGAGTATGCAGTTTTGTAGCCCATTAAATTCTACTATAAAAAAATGGAAGTTCGGAGTTAGTCAAAAATCGCATTGGTTTTTGAGTTTTTTATGGTGTTTTTTCTTTTATTTTGATATAAAGTATATTCGAAAAATTTGTGTTTATGGAAGAGACTGCGTGTAAAAACTGCCAAAAATCAACGGTAATTTCCAGCTACTAAAAACTATCACTAATTAAACGAAAACTATTAAAAATTGATATTGTAAAAATTTCTATTATTCGCAAACGTCATTTCGCCATTGAATATTTTGTCAATATGCTAATTACGAATCACATCTACATTTTAGCGCCCGTTGAAGGCATGTGGGTTTAGTTTTGGTATAAACTCAGTTTTAGCTTAGCGTTTTGTGCTCTATGTGTCCATAAACAGTGCAAGAAGTATACTCTGTGTAACATCACTTTTGCAGTAAGAGTACGCTTTTCCGGCAGGGTCGCTACAAGTGGATTTTAATTTTCGGATGACTTTTCTTTTTATACCCGAGCGCACTTGTGCACAAGGGTATTATAACTTTGTTCACATAACGGTTGTTTGTAACAGGCAAAACGAATCGAGATAGATATAGACAAATGTATACATAAATGATCAGAATGAAAAGAGAAATCGATTAAGCGGTGACTGTCTGTCCGTCCGTCCGTCCGTCCGTCCGTCTGTGCACACGATAACTCGAGTAAAAATTGAGATATCTTAACGAAACTTGGTACGTGAACTTCTTTTGGGCGTGGGACGGATGGTATTGAAAATGGGCGAAATCGGATAATAACCACGCCTACCTCCCATATAACGGTAATTTTAAGAAATACGAAAACTGCGATATTTTAGTAACTACTGAAGATAATTCACTCAAAATT